TGAGCTGCCCAGCGAGTTCGCGATCGACTCGACAGCAAATGGCTCGAACGGACCTATTGGATCGAGAGATCGAGGTGACGCGGAAGGAGACGTGCCTTCCTAAGAGGTCGATCGGACGATTGTCTCCCGTGAATTATAGGCTCTAACATTATGAGGGGGTCGGGGGAGGGCGCTATTTCTTTCATGCAGCCGAGCATACAACGCGCTCCGCTCGAGCATGCGATGAACGTCTCCATGGGGCAGGGTCTGGTACATGCACTCGACGGAGGTTGCGGCCTGGCCGCGGTCAACACGGGAGGCTGGACGGAAGCATGGCGAGCACGGTGAGGAGGATCGCATGGTCGCCTGACTTGCTCTCTACTCTCCAACGGTCTGTCGGCCCGTCTCTCTGTCAGTCAGAGAGTCGGCCGACCGCTTGCTTGGGTAGGTTAGTCTGGCGGTACGTCCGACCGCTAACTCCACCGGCGAGACGCGCGCCCGCCGTCTGTAGGTGCGTCCGTCTCATCTTCATTCTCTTTCGCAAAGTTTCCCAATTAGCGGCTTAGACTGAGTAAACGAGCAAGCAGAACAAGCAACGAAGATAGAAGGAGCTCCTTCGTCCGTCCATCCATTCGCTGCTCGCCCGACCGCCCCTCCGGCCGGGAGCTAACCAGCCGGCTAGATTTGTAGCAGACTCGCAAGCAAGCGCGCGGGCGGGAGGGGGGCCCAGCAGCGGCGATGACGGAACGACGACGACGACGACTAGGTGGTTTGCGAGGAACAAGGATCAACTCGGAAGGCCCAGAAGTTAAGCAGAGTGCTGCTTACCCGTCGGATATTTCCCAAGAACTCTCAGCAAAAAAAACTCTGTCCGAAGCTTCCGACAGCAATCAACAATGGAACTCCGAAACTCCGAGGCTTGAGTTGCACTCTGCTCAAACAGTCCCCCTGCGCGGATCATTGGCATCATCGCAGTGAAGCGCCGTGAATTATCTAGAAATTCTCTCTCGGCTCCACGATCTAATAATAGTCTTGATTACATTACTCGCTCGAAACAGATCTAGATAGGAGACTCGCTAAGAATAATGGTGCCCGCGGCTTTCTAGCGGGGAGCCTGAATATATGTTGGGGCGTTCAGGATAATGGAGGCGATAAGCACGGCTGGCCGAGGACGAAGGAATTAGAGCCCGGGAGACGTTCGCTCGAGGAGCAGCAGACGAAATAGTGAAGTGGTCGAAGTCTATTGACCAACCCTTTGATCCTCTTGTGGAGATCATTCAACCGCCTACCCGTCTACTATGTACCCACCGACTCGTTCTCTTCCCCTTCACTGTTTTTTCCTCACTATCTCGTCAGAGCTAAGAGGAACAAAGAACTTGTGGAACGAGGACTGAAAAAAGACTGCCGCTGAGATAACGGCCGAAAGGAGCAAGAATTAAGGACAACTCGGAGGATTCACGAGACAGGCGAGGAAGCTGGGAAAACTTCACTTCATCCTCTGATCCCCCTCGTTCTCTATTTTTTAGAAAAGCATTAAAGCCTCTTAAACCACCTGATGGGTCGACACGAACCAAACCGCCGACACCTCAAGCCATGGAGTCCCATCATCCGGCCACTCGCTATTACCGAGCAAGGCGGTCGGATACCCGCCCGATGAAAGCCACGTCGCCCGAGGTTCTAGAATGTTCCGGAGAATCTCGCTACGATAATTAGGAAAAAAATATGATGATGAGGATAATCGCCGAACGCAAGCACAGCGAAAATTCTCGAGCGGGAAATGAGCGAGTGGGGCGCTACTCTCCCCCGATCTCTATGTGAAGTCTCCCGCATCGATCGAGGCTCTTTTTCGTATCCATCGTCCGGAAAAAAGGTCCATCTCAGATTCGATGCAGGTTTTCTCTCGAGTGAATATCTCTTGCTTCCCAAACAGGTCCCTCTCACATGCGGAGGCGGGAAGAGAGCTCGAAAACTGGGAAGAGGAAACAAAGAGCTCAAACGCAGTGCCTACTCTTCTTGAGACGGCGATTCGCAAATATTTGAGCAGAGAATGGCGGCCGCGACGACGAGCGGAAGCATTCGCGAACTGGATGGAGAAGAGCTCAAAGACAACGCACAGCAGAGCCTGATCGCGTTGATTTAATATTTCGAGGGATGTCAAACAATCCATTCCGCCGCCCCGCTCATGGCGCTGTGTCGGCTATGGCCCCGCGACTTTCCACGAACCAAATCGGGATGGAATTCACGTGCGCAGTTGAACTTTCCAGACACGGGAGCGGTCATCTTTCTCAGAAACAGAGACATCTAAGCACGTACCCGGGAATGAATGCGATCCCAACGAACAAGGATTCGAATCTCTCTGTCTGGTCAGGTGTCCCGTGTCAACTGACAAGCTGGATTCGTTGAGCTTTGATACATGGAGCGTGATGGCGCGTGGCTTTAATCAATCACGTCGACTGGGTATCCAATATTCAATACCCGTACTACCACTCGCATAACAGCTTGCAAGCCACAAGCCGTCATTCGGAGCTCGCTGCCGCGCCGTAACTCCACCGACGAAGACGTCGTTCCTTCAGAGAGCGAGCAGTCGTAGCATTCAGGGTTCCCCGATGCACGGGTCGAGGGGTACGACGGAACGAAGCAATCAGGAAACCGGTGATTCCGATTTAATGGAAAAAGCGATGACTTCAAAGACCCGCAAGAGTTCGTCGCCGTTTTTCAGTTTCTGAGCGACTCCGCGGTAGAATAGGCTTTCGCCTCCGCAAATTAAATATCGTCTAGTTATCCGCGGCTTGCCCCAGAGAGAGAATTGGAGCTATTTTTCTAAAAGGTCGATGATTCTTAAGAACTCTGCGTCAGTAGGCCAACCGAACTTTACTCGATGGAAGCATCAGAGCGAGGAAGAGAGATTCCCAAGGGGCTCCGTTTTGATTCTTGAGCCTCAATCGCTCGGGAATTCCGCAGCCGAATATCCACGCATTCGCGAACGCGTTGGCTATTCGGCACGCGAGAGCTCCGCCAGAGAGGTAGCAGCTGTCGGAGAACAACAATTTTGACCTGAGGAGCGCTATCCGAACAAAGCAGCCGACGACGATCGAATTACTGTAAACGAATTTCCTCTCGCTCCGGCTTGTTATCGAAGTGGTGCTGCACCGCCTTGCATGGCTGCCGTTGACGTTCGCTCCGGACCCTCTCCCGATATAATTCTTGCCGGAATCTCTCTACCGGAGTCTTCTAACATGATCCGGCTCGGGAGTCGGGTTCCGCGGTAGATGGTGGAGCAGGTTTTCGCGAGTGAGCGAACGATAGAATCGTAGATTGCGTAAGTGGGTGGGTAAGCGACGATTCGCGAACTGGCTCCAAACGATTCGATGTCAGTTTGCGCGGGTTTTATCAAGAAGAACCGGATCTCACAGAAATTATCACCTTTTTTTGAGCGACGGATGGAGAGGAACCTCGGAGCTCGGTGCGAGCTGAGTAAGGTTCGCTCTCCCGACACATCGACGAAAAGTTCCGCGTGACGTGGAGCATCTTTGTAAGAGAGCGATGTCGGATGAGATCGATTTTATCATCTCCTTCCAACAGCCTCTCGCTCTTGAGAGAGGTTTTAGCGAGGCGGGCATAATACAGGATAGTGGCGGTGGCGGCGGCGACGGGCGTAAGAAGCTCCGGATACGTCGTCGCTCTAGCTCGTCAGTCGACGAGTCCCGACGAGCAACCAGCCAAAAGAACTTTCTCGCTGTATCTCTCGCGCTGGCTCTTCTTATTCGGTGCTCCGGGTAGGATCTAGGAGAAGAAGATTTTCCGAGCTGACCGGCCGAGGCGGCCGCCAACGTCCGAGTGAAGCAGCCAGGCCACCAAGCCGGCTACTTGGCCGAGGAGGAGAAGTTGACCAGAGATCAAAGAAATGGGACTCTTGGGGATCACTCGGATAATTGGGGAAAGATAGAGGAGCGAACTCCAGGGAGATTGTGCTCTGCTTGGACTTCGCGTTCTCGGCCGAAACTTCACCCGACCGGCCAAAGGAGAGCGACCTAGCTAGCTGAGTAACTAGTACTATGAAGTTTCCTTCGACTCACAGCCTCTCAAACATTTCAGCAGCTATTCCTCTCGCGGCTAAGGACTTCGAGGAGATTTTCTCGGGCACGTGAACGGATTGGAGTCCAACAGCGATTCATTCCTGCACCTCAAACCTCGCTTCGAAAGTCTGACGTGGAACTTGCCGAGGTCGGCATGCGGTAGCTCCATCGAGGTTTCGCGCTGTTGAGCTACAGCGGCGAAATTTCCCAAACCCGCTCCGAAGCCACAGGCGCGACTCGAATCCCATGAATCGGGGCTCCTCATGCGCATAGCCGAGCTACGGAATCGTGAAACGAGCAGTTCGGGTAAGAAGAGCATGTTGGAAGCTCTGCAGTGCGTACAGCTACCCCGTAAGCCTTCGGAGTATTTCCAATCTCTGACGCACCGAAAACTCGCGCAAGTATCTCAAGCACCGACAAGACCTCAACAATAAGAAGTGAATCCGCGATCCCAGACATCTCTGATTCTGAAAAAAATGGTTTCCGTGCTGATGATTCCGAGCAGGAACCCGGGAAGAAAATACGGAACGTATGTTCGGAGCATGGACGAGCTGGCTCGACGGACGATGCGGTTTCGAAAATAGGCTTACTCCTCGAAACTGTGACCTTCTCAGGCAGTCTTCCCGCGAGTTCTATCTGATGGCAGCTCGCTCCTCGGGGAGATGGAGTCATCCGCGGCGCTGACTCGAAAGGGAAAACATTGCTAGCGCTCACACTTCTCATGTTCAGATACGCCGATTGAGTCGTACGAGATCGCTCACACTTATCGGGAATCTGTCGAGAACAGCGCGGCGCTCCGCCTTTGCGTATTGAGTGAGATACCGGGAGCTCTGAAGCGTACTTTTTTGTTCCTACTCTGATTCGAATCGCTACGTATGGATGTGGACGTCAGCAGTATAGCTCTTTCAGGACGGTCGTATATTGGTGAATATTCGGCACACTCACGTAAGATGTATCCATCCGATGTGATGACTTCATAGTTTTCGACCGGATATCCCCAGCGAGCGATGATCTGAGTGACGTTCAAATCGGCGTCCGGATCGTGAGAATACCTCGAGGAGTTCGAGCCTCGGAGGAAGGTTCCTCGCGCGACCTGCGGCGTGAGGCTGACCGCGCCCAAAATCAACAGCGGCACAGAAATCGCTTCCAGCATTCTGCGGGGAAAAGAGGGAACTCGGATAATTTTTTTCTCCCTGCCGATAATAGAATCAACGCGAGAATCTTATTCATCCAGCCACCAACACGAATTTCCCTCGGCGAAAAGATTGAGAGGCAGCGTTCCATTGCTCTAGGCGGGAATGAGCCGCGAATAAAAAATTCCAACACTCGATCTTGTGGGAACTCCGGGACATCCTTTGCGGGCGAAGAATTCATGCCAAGACTGAATAGAAACTCGAGAGGTACAATCTTTTACAGAGTCTTAGTGACTAACAGACTCCGAGACTTCGGCGCGCAGCGCACGCAAAGGCGTAAAAACTCTTCGACAACACGTCCGTCATGGTATTAAGCTTGGGTCTCTCGCGAAACTTCCTTCTCGCGTTCGTTCGTTCGCTCCTTCATCCTTGTTTTTCGGTTGGCCTCAAGAAGGCCTGGCCCTCGAGAATGTGTTAACATAGCAGGCGTGACAGGCTTCCGACGCTGTATGAATATCTAACAAGTTCCGAACTTTCGCGTCAGATCAGATTTCTGCGTGAAGAACATTCAAAAGTTTCCCTCGCGACCGAGACTCTCATTTTTCCTCCTCCGCTCTCCACCAACAGCCCGCGCGCCCGCCTCATCATCGAACAACGCCTAACCGTGAAATTCATCTGAGCCATTTTTAATTCAATCCTCTTCGAGATTCGCGTTGCTCGAACTCACTTTCGCTAATTCCATTACTGTGCGCTTCTTCCGACGAGCGCTGTTGCCTTCTCGGCTCGGGATATGCATGACTTGCATGTTTGCGTGACTGGCGGAAGTTTGCAAACTCAGATGCTTGCGGATCGCCCCGATTTGGCGCTGATTGTTCATGGGCGGACGAGTCCCGCGATCCCTGTTCGGGAGATATCAACCGATTTCGGGAAGGATTTCATTTTCGCTCCCATCGCCGAAGGGAGGGCCGGGCGGCGAGCTTGACCGATGATCTGGGAGCGAGGCGCATCTCGCAGAAATGAAAAAAAGGAAACCCGAACGGACAGCCTTTTTCGTGGGCCATCTCTCTCTCCCTCCCTGAATACCGCTCGAGCGAGTGAGACGAGGAGCTCAAGACTCCTGTGCCTGTCGTCGAGGATGCGTCGTGCCTCGCAGGTGGCTCAGATCTTGATGCTGCTCCACGCGAGTGCCATCGACAGGCTCTCAGCTTCTTAGTGTAGCCGTGCATAGAAAGCTAAGGAGCCCTTCCAGCAGCGACGGTTGAGGAGCCGGTGAGAGCCGAGGAACCCATGTACATACTTGTGGCCAACGGTAGGCATCATTCGCATAAGATGTTATGATGAGTCCCCTTTGAGTGAGTGCTCGGGCCCGCTCGCTGCCTAGCTCGCCACGAAGTGCGCCACGAAATTTTCGAGTCACTTCCCGGCTCAGAGCGTCGTCCGGGAGTATTCCGTCGAGTTATGATCCCCCTCGGACGGGTCAGCCGAGATCGTCATTGAGCCTCCCAATGCTCGCTCGGACATCGTGCACCCATTTCGTTCCGCCGGACGAGATTTCCGCGGAAAAATCGTCGGGATTCCCGCCGTGTGGAGTGGTTTGCATGCAAAACACGGGGAATATATTCGTGAGCCAGATCGAAAAGGTACTCCGGAGATGCTCGCTGTTGGGATACGGATGGCACGCAGGCCGGAAGGTACCGTTCGTCCCTCTGGCAGTCTCGTCTTCCTTCTGTATCGGATGACGCTCCGGTGACTGTCTCCTCGGGCTAGCGAGCCGACGACGGACCCACCGAGCCAGCGAGTGACTGATGCCAGTCGGATTCTATGGAACGAAATGAGTCCGCTTGAAAGAAGAATCGCAACGTGAGACATACCTGCTCGGCTGACGAATAGACGAGCGCCGCGCCGCCGTGAGAGAGCCAACACAATCAGCTGATGCTATCAGGCATCTCCCGCTACAATAACGACGGCCGACGGGGGCTTCGCCGACGTTGGCGGAGACGCCGACGTCGAGATACGCGACACGCGAATTCGATTGCGACGGAACGCCGCGACGTTGAAAGGAAGTCGGAGATAGGTAGGGGGATCCGACGTCTCGGGAAAATCCGTGGGGTCCCAGAGGAGTCAGCCAACTTCGAGCCCTTTTCGGCCGCCGCGGCGGCTATAGCGGTCGAGCCGTACTGCCGTACTCGGCCGAAGCCTCCCGAGCCAAGTGAGCGAACTAACTCGATCCATTCCACGAGGGATGCCGGAACAGCTGTGAAAACCAAGACCAACGTTCCCGACAGTTCCCGTTTTCCTCACAGGCACCCACGCACCTATTGTGGGAACGGCGACCGCCCACGAAACCGCAAGCAGCGGCAATTCCACTCGTGAGAGTGGAGCTCCGTAATCGCGTAGATAAGGATCTCTATTTTCGGGAACTTTGCGTCTTTTGCCGGATCCGACAGAGAACGCAATCTCAAGCCTCTCTTGCGTCGGCGAGCCTCAGGACCTCGCCGCGCGGCCGACAGGAGTCAACTCCATTAGAGCGTCAGAGCTCGGGGGGGGGCGCCTTTGAAAAAAATATAAATGTTTTGCTCTGGAATCCCGTACCTCCCCCCGTTTTCCCGGAACGAATCCGAGCACGACGGAGCAACAGGCGAAAGACCGAACTCGGCCAGACCGACTCAGTTCGGTGTGCGATCATGACGGCGTCGTCCACGGTGCTCGAATTTCGGAGACGGCCCGGCGCGCATTCAGACGACTCGAGTCGGGCTGCCAGGATCCAAGGAAACTTGTTTCACTGGACGGACACAAAAATCCAGGGGCCTTCTTGCGTTCATCTGATCGCTTGTTCCTCGAACGAATAACACCGCTCCCGCTGAGGATATCGGCATTCAACAGCCCGAATGCCGTCGTCGGACCTGATTTCCGAGTTTATCATTGCACCCACGCGGGTATCTCCGAATGCATCCGCATCGTTATCTCTGCTTCTCAGGATAATTATCTCTCTCGCGAACTTTTCGCCGGTACAATTCCCTCCGACATAGGTAGGTGCGGGCGATTTCATTTACTCGCGGAAGCGCAACTTTTAATTCATTACACCGTCGACCACCGAGAGTGCCGCTCCTTCCCCTGGTCCGGCTTGACGTGTACGCGGATTGACCTTACTGCTCTGGGCTCTCGATGAGTGGGATCCAGTCGGAGTTCACGAAAGAAACTCAAGTAGCCCCTCGAGAAAATACCCACGCAGCTCGGCCAACAAGCCTCTCGCAGCAGGCTCTCCAAACACCTTGTTTTCAGTCATTAATTGCGAAACACTTGGCCTCATTATCTCAGAGAAGTGGCCGTGACAATCAGTGGCATTGAAACACGAGGAAGGTGTCCCCGTCTGTCATAGTCGATGACTCTACAACTGCGATGCTCCCGAATCAGGAAACTCGCACTCACTTTGTTATCGTCGATGCTGGAACTGTGCACTACGAGCACCGGCTCACACGCGGAAAGCGCGAGACAGCGAGCTGGCTCTTATAGTTGGCTTTTCGATATTCGATGATGTCCCCTAATCCAGACCCGTCGCGAGCGGTATGAACAGATTAGGGAGCGCTTGGGTGTTGGGAATACGTTCCGTTTCCAAGGAAATTCGACTTCAATGCCTGGGTGAGCTCTCCTCCCAGAAATCTTATGGTCATCCCTCCCTCAGCGAGATATGATGTGACTCATCCTCAAGAGAGTCATTCTGGGAAGCGGAATCGAAGCGAGGGATCTTGAGCTGGTGAGAACAGGAGGTCAATTTTGACGCCGACGCAGTGAATCAGTTCTGACTCCTCCACCCGTACTATCGGATCGATTTCTCGGCACTGGGTCGACCTAGGGTCGGTGCTCATACTCCCCTTCACGGATTTCTAGCTCCCTGAGTGGACAGAAGAGCCTGTTTTCAATCTGAGCCCAAACGGTGAGAGGGATCGTTAGTTCAAAAATGTACCATAGTCGATGGTCTCCTCCGATGGCAACAAAATCGCGAGCAAGTCCATCTCGCAAAGTTGGATTAGGACATCGGTAGTGAGCCATCGGAAAGATCGAGCCGTCGTCGGAGCGGAATATTGTATCGGCGGATTGACGACTCGCTGGAACTGACAAGCGAGTTTCAATCGCATCCGGGGCTCCGGGCTCCGTCTCCACATCGCCTCTCTCGGTGACATTCCTCGGCTCAAGTCTGGCTCATGGTAGAGCTTATTGTTTATCGTATCAGGATTCAAGAATACCCAGTCTCCATTATGTATACTCATAATCGAGATGGCAAATCTCCATGTGATACTCGTATATCTCATCCTAAGCGAAGGATTCTGGCGGATCCTCCGATCGAGGATTCCTGAACAGGGACATCATCGTTAATCCCACTCGAATGACTTTGCTCTAGGGTGCCGACCGATGATTGTGAGAATTACCAGAAGTGCGTGCACCTCAATCAAACCGTAATAAACAACAGTTGATCGGAAATCAGCTGTCGAGGCTCTGCCCCGGGCTTGCGGACAGGATCAACAATTATTATTCCACTTCGCATACGCTCGAACACTGCCCGGAGGCTGAGAGGTTCGGCAGCGAGGGGTGTCCTGGACACGGTTTTCCGTGTTTGCGCGACGATACCATCTCCTCTGGGTCACAGGCGCTTCCTGGGTCAAACTCTCATGCGGAGAGTCTAAGATCGGATAAGGTAGGATTATTGGATCAACGGATTAGCTATGTCGAGGATGACGGCCTCGTGGACAAAGGCTACGATCAGAAGGCTCATGGCATCACGATGTTATCGATCGAACATCCGATGCATTACAGTGAAATCTCTTCTCGACCAACACGTCGCGGTCAATTATCCAATCACGTCGAGTATCCCGTGCGATTATACGATGGATGTAATCATTGCAGATAAGAACCCACCTCGAGCAAAATGCGTAGTTTCGATGAGGCACAAGACGACACACCGTGAGACTAGGTGCTGACGCTCGGAGTTCCTCCGCAGGCTGTCGACAGGATTCCGGAGCGACGAGAATCGCTCTCCGACTTTAGAAATCCCTGTGCAAATCGGCGCTCGGGACCTTCATCGGCAGGGGATCCCCAAGACTATCCCGGTGATTGGCATTAGCTCCGTAGACTGAGCGATTTCACGTTTGCTCCTTTTGATGGGAGAATACCAGCGTCGTCGCATCAGAACTTTGCGGACTCTGTCGAAGTACCTCGACTAACCAGAGAACCTGTTTTTCCAGAGCAGCCTGGCGCTGTTCACCCTTTCCCGTAGAGTGTTTCGAAGTTCCGTTCTTCTCTCGCTCTCCCCCCTTTCTTTGTTTTTGTTTTCTTATCTCCCGACGGTCGGGATGCGCGCAGCAAATACGACGCTCGATGCGATGTGACTCGCTTCGTTGGGGTATTCCGTCGTGCAGACATGGGCGGGGAACGATTTTTACCGCTATGTAGCGTCTTGTGGAGATGTTCGCGTGGGTGCGAGCGCTGCTCGACTCCGCTGGAGGCTATTTCACCGCCCCAATGGTAATCCTTTTTCGAGCAAATGCCCATTCGACTGACAAAAAACGCTGACGGGGGCAACTTCCCTCTGCGATCGTGATACATGCGAGCCAGCGCTGTTAGACGCCCACCAATACGACCCCATCAGCTAGTTCTCGTATCCGTCATTCGGCTACTCGTCCACCCGACTTCTCGTCCATCTAGTATCCGTCCGTCCGTTATTCCGCTGCGTTTCTGTCCCGGTTCGAGGCTGCAGAGGGACCGTGAAGACCTCCGAGCAGGAATTATAAGCGAGCTTCGAGATTGAGGCCCGAGGAACGCCTTCCCTCCTCAGGCACAAAGTCTCCGTCCTTTGCCGAGAAGTTCAAAATTACAGCAGGCCATCCGAAGAAACCTCGGAATCTTAGTATGGTGATATTGTTTTCTTGCTCAGACAGCAGTGCATGCCGAAGAATGGGTCTCTGCGTCGGCGAGGGCTTGCAATGGAAGCCGACAGCGCCGGCTGGGCTTAACCAAGGAAATTTGTCGTTGTCATTAGCACAGAACAAAACCGTCTCCGAGACACGAACGACCACGAATACCATGCCAGGCTGGCTAATGTAATAATCGAGTTCGAGATCCTCTCTTGCCGTTCCCGAGCAGCCAGCGAACGGCTAGCGTCACGCATGCCTCGACTTCGACGATTGTATCTGCTTTCAGATAACGCCTCGAGGCATCTGTACTATTAGCTCGGTCTCGCTGTTAAGATCTCTCCGCCTCTCATCACTTCCTCCGACGCCGTCCGCCCCCCGGCTCGACTTCACAGGCTGACGCGTGATCGCATCTAGTGGAGCGGGGAGAATTTCTCGGGAAATTGAATTCGATCGCCGCCGGATTCGGAGCTCCGAAGTGGATTCTGCTTATTCTGCGACGGAATGAAACCGAGAGGGAAATATTCTCTCTGGCAAAAATACGATGCTTTGCTTTACGGCTAGTTTCTCGAATTTTGAAACTTTCAGGGGGAAAATAATTCTGACTGAGTCTGAGAAGTCGGAGATCTTTTCGAGGATCATCCGCGAGCGGATCGAAGTAGGTGAAGGAAAAGGATATACTGAGGAAGGAAAACACGGGCTTCGCTCCAGAAAGAGCGATTCCTTGTAGCATCGGAAGGGAAGGGAGCGAAGATTAATAATTCACGGCGGAAATTCTCCTCGGGGCCGGGACAAATTTGCTGCCTCCACCGCACGCCCCGCATTCGATTCTGCTTGATATCGAATTATTGAGCTCGGATTCCAGCTGCTATTATCGATAGCCGGGGAATTGTATGGACCCGGAACATCCACCATGTCGTCGTTTCCGGAGCTCTTTAGAATCCCTGTTCTTGACAGCATATACACAATCATGTCCTTGTTTCCCATTCCGTTCCCTCATTCGTTTGTTCCCCTTCGCTCGATCCGGAGTGCGGAGGGAGAATTTGTCAACTTGTATTCGACCGGCGTTGGCGCAAAGCTCACAAAAAGAAGCGCGTTGGCTATAAAATTCGTGGACCGAACTTTATGAGGAGCAGGCCACACGCCGGCTCGTAAGTCAGCAGAAGCTTCTGCCGAAATCGACGTGCTCCATCCAATTCAGCTTCAGCAGCTCCCCCTCGTCTCGTCGAGGCGTTCTCTTCCTTCTTCAGTATCACGTCCCAATGCGAGACCCGGCTGCGCAACACTTCAACACGGCAAGTCTTTCAATGAGAAACACTTGCCCTAAAAAGGGTGTGCGTTGGTGTGAAGCAGTCGAGTGGGCACTCTCGCAAGCACGGAATGCAGAGGGAAAAAAATGACTCGTTTGACGGAGTGCTCCACGAAACGTTTTCCCTCCGCAGAGATACGGCGACGACGCTCCCGAGAGAAACCGTCGATACAGAGATGACATTTCTGTGGAGTGCAGCGGTGAGCTGACTTCCTAAAATCCGAAGTTATTCCAAAAGTTTACAGGGGTTCGGAATGCAGACACTTCGAAAAATTCGCCGCCAAATATTCGGGGAATTCCACGTGCGAACATAACGGAATCTCCACCGCTGCCTGCTCACGCGCCGAACTTCTGCACAGGGAAATTCGGGACGATGCGCAGGAGCGCGGCACAGGAAATTCGGCCAGGGAGAGAGAGGACAGCGAGCTGTTCCGTTAATTGGCAAAAAACAACTCTCTGCTCAGGTGCGGGGATGATGGCGGCGGCGGCGGCGGCGACGACCTAGATGATGAGGAGAAGATGCCAAGTATTGAGGCGCGAAATTAATTTGCGAGCATAACCCGCTGCATAAACGGTGAGCTCTCGTCTGCTTCGCAGCGGCAGGAGCAAGCCGGCTCGCGCTGCTCGGGGGAATCTTTAAACTTATTGACGCCTAATTGATGCCTTCGTCGGAACAGAGGTAAGAGGCCAATCTTCTCCATCATCACGAAATCAGGAGGATCTCTGCATCGAGTGCGAGCCGGCAATCGAAAGGTCAGAGAGTTACTCGCGAATCGCAGAAATAGAACCCGGGGCGTGCGAGTCGATGAGATCAGCGACCATCGATGCGACAGATTACACCAGCCAAAGGATTCCAACCCACGGGAAGACAGCGGAGCAAAATACAAAACACCCAACACTTGAGCTTTCGTTGACGGCAAAAGCGGTGCCGAAACTCCTCGAGTGGTATTCCATGGGATCGAGGCTCCCCCAACCCGCCGGCCGTTCGGTCCCCTCGTCCGTACAATCTTCGATTCTGAAGCCGACCGACGCGACCGGCGGCCCGAAACGAACACAACGCAAACATCGCGTTTCAAGCGCGGAATGCGATCCCGTACGATCGATGGGTGTTCTGATTTGGTAGGAACTCGCTCCAATGATTTTGGCCGGCGAATCTGATAGGCTGGAACTACACAGATCGGGGGAGACATCCAATTTCTGACCGAAGTTCTGCCATGGAGCATCCAGCGTCTCTTGTCCGAGGGAGCGTCTCGCTTGGGAAGAAAGCTCTCCGAATGGAAGTCAAAATGATGAAAGCTCGCTTAGGTTAACAGACCGGACCAGAAATACAGGAAAACTCTCCAACAAGTCAG